CCCCCCGGCCCCCGCGCTCGGCCTCGGCGCAGAACCATGACCAACATGCGTCACACCCAGGAGGCCGCTCCCAACACCCCCGCCCGCAAGGTGGTGGACACGGTCCTGCGCGCCGGCCGCAAGACGGCCCTCTGCACGACCATCGCCCTGGCGCTGGCCACCTCGACCGGGGTCGTGGCCGGCCGGTCGGCCGCCCCGGTGGGCGACTTCGACCCGAGCCGCGTGTCCATCGAGGACGGCCGGCTCATGATCGATGGCCACCGTGCCGAGGTCCGCATGGAGGAGGATGGCGGCGTGCTGATCGGCACCGGCGGCAACATGGTCAAGATCGACCTGCCCGGCATGATGAATGAGTTCCTGCAAATGGCGGCCCAGGCCAGCGCCGACGTGGAGGCCGGCCGCGCGCCGCCCCTCGGCCCGACGGCCGACGCCGTGGCCACCGCCGCCGACGCCCTGCTGGCCGATGCCCTGGAAAACATCCCCGGCGGGGAGGACCTGGCCGCGGCGGCGGCCGCCGCCGGGGCCGCCGCCCCCAACGCCGGGCTCAAGCAGCCCCGGCACCTGGCCCGGCGGGGCCTGGCCCCGCGCGACGACGTGGTGTGCAACTGCCCCGGCAAGACCTACTGCTACCAGAGCCTGGAGCAGTGCGGCAAGGCCGGCCAGGGCAAGCTGCGCGACTCGCCCCGCGAGTGCGCCATGACCCTGGGCCCGGTGTACCGGTGCGAGGGGGAGGACTTCTGCCGGACCATCGACACCTGCCAGTCCATCATGAGCGCCGCCGGCAAGCAGGACCCCCACATGAAGGGCTTCAACGGGGCCGACTACTACTTCGAGGGCCACTCCGGCCGGGTGTACAACATCATCACCGACGCCGACTTCCAGATGAACGCCCAGTTCACCCGGCTGGACTCCCTCAAGGGGACCTACATGAACCGCCTGGGCATCCGCGTCGGCAACGACACGGTGGCCTTCCACCCGCACTTCGGCGTGTTCCTCAATGGCCAGAAGCTGGCCGTGGACAATGGCCACCCCTATGCCCTGGATTACGGCCGGTCCAACATCAGCGTCGACATCATCGACGGCACCCACCGCATGACCGTCAAGACCCCCAGCTGGCAGGTGGCCGCCCGGGCCATCTTCGAGAAGGCCCGCGCCAGCATGACCGACGCCTACATCAACCTCAACAGCAGCCTGCTCGGGCGGCCGCGCGACCCGCACGGCGTCCTCGGCCAGAGCGCCCGCTTCATGGTGGACAGCCGCTTCCGCAACAGCCCCGAGGGCTTCCGCGTCGAGGGCGAGGAGGACGACTACGAGGTGCTGGACGGCCTCTTCGGCACGGACTTCATGTTCAACCGCTTCGACGAGCAGCTGGACCTCTTCGGGGCCGAGGACGATGAGGCCGACTTCGCCGACATCCTGGACGAGGACGTCTTCGCCGAGGAGGAGGAGGAGGACGACGACGAGGAGGAGGAGGAGGAGCATGACCACGAGCAGGAGGACGACCGCGAGCGGGCGGACCGCCGGCAGGCGGTGCACCGCGGCCGCCAGCCCCCGACCGGTGCCCGCCGCCCGGCCGCCCACCGCGTGGACCCCAAGCACACCGTGGTCGGCACCATTGCCAAGCACCTCCGCCGGAGCCAGCTCCACTGAGCGCCTCCGGGGCATGTGAAAGTGTGTGTGTGTGCGTGTGTGCGTGTGTGTGTGTGTGTGTGTGTGTGTGTGCTTCGGCGTGCATGCGCTCGCGCCTCTCGAGAGCTGGGCATGGAAATATCGTTGCCCGTGCACCCGCGGCCTTGCCCGTGTGCGGCGGGGGTCGAGCGCGCGCCCACACACGCAAACACACCAACACACATCGTGCCCCTCCGAATGCGCGCGGGGCACAGAGGCAGAGGGCAAAACCGGCCCCGGCGGACATGTGTGCATGCGCGCACGCCCACGCCTCGCCCCCTCTCGGCGAGTGTGTGTGTGTGTGTGTGCCATGTGCCTCGTGCAGCGCCGCCCGCCGCCCTTCCTCTTTCCTAGATACAATATAGACTAGCGTAGTTTTCCTTCCCCGGATGAACATGCAGCGCCGGCCGGGCAGGCGAGGGGGGGGAGGGGGGGGGGCTTTATTGTCGATGCCGCATTGTCTGGTGCACATGTGTGCGCACCGCTCTCCCTCGCCTGCCAGTGTGAAGGCCATCGGGCCACAAAAAAAGACAGGGAGGGAGCGCGCGCGCGCGCGCGCGAGCGTGCGAGCGTGCGAGAGCCAGCCGAGGGGACGAAAGACCAGAGGGGAGAAGGGCCGGCCATGTGATGAAGGGGGAGGGAGGCGAGGGGGGAGGAAAGGGCAAATATTGTACAGAGAAGGGGGGGGGGGGGGGCGTAGCATGCGTGTCTATGTGAAGCGGACGATCATCCGTCGGGGCACCGACCCCGCGAACAGGGAGGCATACCGCCCCCGCTCATGGCGCGAGTGACGGCCCGGGCCAAACACCCCGTGGTCCTTGGCCAGCAAACAGCCGGCCGGGTCGGCGCTGTCGATCGGCACATCGTCCAGGTCCCGGTCAGAGATCTCATCCTCGCGGAAGACCAGGGCTGAGGAGGGGAGGGGG